ACTTTTGAAGTTAAGGGTAAGATGAGCCTAATTCCAAAATTTCATGCAAATCGGTTCACAGTAAAAAAAATCGGAGGTAAGGCCGTATTTTTCGCTTCAATGACTGCACTATAGGCACTTCTTACCTTTAGTTATGTTTGATAGTACTATGCTCATTTTTTCTCCAAAAGCGCCATCTGGTAAAGGGGAATTGATAATGAACACCACAGATGGCCACCGGAACAAATCAATATAGATAGACTACACAGTAAAAATAGGTTTTTTTAAATAAAGACAAATTGTTTTATGACACATTTATTGAATTCAAGAAAATGATCCACTCCCTATAGACCCTAACACTATATTTTCTTCGTAGTAATATTAAATATCCTTAAAAATATAAACTTGTTAGAAGAATAATACATTTAATCCAATACATAATATTACATTCAAGACACCCTCAGGCATTTGTACAAGTAAATGTATTCTTCATACAAAAAAGAATCTTTATGAATAAAACTAGTTTTTACGGGTTAATGCGTTTCGCAGCCTTTTCAGGTCTGCATCGTCAGAATAATGATATATAAAAAAAAAAAAAAAAAACATTATTCTGACGATGCAGACCTGAAAAGGCTGCGAAACGTCAATAAATAAATAAAGTTTCGTGCATTAACCCGTAAAAACTAGTTTTATTTAATGAGTGATGTGCGTGAAAACCTAAGAAACAAATAAGAATCATTATGACTTATAAGCAACCTATCTTAAAGTTAAATATCTCAATCTATGTAATTTGTAGTTATTCTAAGATCATTATAATTCAAAATTCAAGAAATTCTATTTTCTTGATCTAAGTAAAGCTCATTTAATTGATATTATACTAAAGTAAGTCTTGAATAAAAAATATTTCTTTTAATTATTAAGAAAAAAAGGACTGAGAGAAAGAAGAACAGTATTTTTGTCCTAAAAATATTACTTGGTCTTATCCAAATAAATATATTTTTATGATAACGTAATATTTTGGGAAAATTGGTTTTTCTTCTTTAAAGATGTCCTTTTTATCGTGTACGAGTTACGATACGATTACTTTAATTTGGTTGCCAAACAACGTTTGTAAGAATGCATTAGTGAAAGGAGCTAATAGTGAAGCATTCCAACAAACATAGATAGCTATCTGAACTGCTTTTCACAACTTTAGTTAGCTGACACTGATTCCAAATATTGTAAAACTAGCTTCTGACCGCGACCTCGTCCGTTTTATGGTTAGTTTTTTGAGAATCTTACAGGAATCTAAAAGTTTTCCGTAATTAAAAGTATAATAATGTGTCAATCTAGGTTATAATCTATATGTACATATATTATGCCTTTCATCCAAATCCGTTCAGCCGTTTTCGCGTGAAAAAGTAACAAACATCTATACATACGTCCAAACAAATTTTCGAGGATTATAATACCCATTAGTAGAACATTTGGAAGTAGAATTTGCCTTGAAATGTTATTTAGTTATATATATTAGCAGCCTTGTTCATAAAAATCCTCTAAAATAGGTCTAAAACACTAATTAGTTAAAATTCTCATCAGTACTAATAAACCTTTTATATAATTCTCTATTCATAAACGTTCAATAAACCCTTTATAGCTATGTTCTCATTATAAGACACTTTAGCGTTGTAATGTTGTCGTTCTGATGAATCCATAAATGAAAATCACTGGTATCCACAAAAAAAATTGACAACGTCACTTATGATATTTGTTTTGTCAATATTGCTTGTTTCGTGCAGGGGTTATTCGTGTTATTTTTGTGAAGAAAATTGGACTTTTATGTATGTATCAGAATTGCGAGCAATTGTGCGGGCTACTCTGGCACAAATGCGACTCACAGTTGGTTGAGACATACCATGGGTTTCTCCCCCATCATCTTGAATCTAAAATGTTACAATGATATTAAAAAAGGACATAGGTATATTAAAAAACGGGATATATGAAATACTCGTAAACGTGCTTACTACACGACAACCCCAACATCTATAAGAAGCGGTTAACATCTATAACTCTGGTGACGTTCCTCAACCTCTGGAGTCCAGTTGCAAGACTTGCCTAACGAGATCAATTATAAGGGCCATGTTATTTTTGTTGAAACGGTATCGTCGTTTGAACTCCACATATGGTAAAGAAAACGGATCACATCTCTCCTGGTAAATCTTTTGACGTCGTGAAAAAAACATTTTCTGCTCGTTCAATAGCATGTAATGCTTGCAGAGCTTGCATAGCTAAAGATATCACAAAAATATGTCTACTTTACAGCTCCTTGTAAATAACCACACGAACGAATGAACGACGACAACAAACTTTAACAAACAAACCTCGAAACAAACGGTTCGGACGTAAAAAAAACCAAGTGTTTCACATTTGTCGGATATATTTCTGTGCATTAAAGGTTTATGGTAGGGTCGACCCTGTTATAAGTTACGAAGCCGCTATTAAATACTTGCAAAGCTTTTTAGCGTTATTTAACGTTTATGAATAATGCTTTTTGGGATTCTTATTATAACAAGCTAATAAACCTATTTTATCTTTTTATGAATAAGACAGTAAGCATTTAATAGCTTGATGTCTACTTGATGTTTAAATCTAAAGAATTTTTTACTGGAACAAGTTGCACGCATATTCCATGCTATTTAGTTTTTTTTTAATTGCGGATTTCTTTTTATGCAGTAAGTATATTTTCAGTAACAATAGTATCATTTTATACTTCTCTAGTAACATGACTTATAACAGCATTTAATTAAAACGCCTCCACGTGCACGGCCATTAAAATATTTATATAAGAAAAAGGGAAAAGAATACGTGATAAGTAATTACTTAACAAGTATATAATTGATATAATTCAGTCAGATCTGCTTATTTTTACACAATAGCGATCATTCACTATGAAATAATTATATTGCAGTGGATAAAACTTAACTACCAACATTCAAATACTATCTAAAAAATATGTTCACGATATTACGAAGCACCGACATATTATTCCTATACGTTCATGGAAATTTAATTTCAATGTAATAAATGTACTTATACCCAAAAAACTTCATTGGCCAGCATTTCAACCGCACTAAAACCGCTGCTTCCACATTTATCTCAATGTCGATCAGTATTGCTCTGCTCGTATCCAGTGGCTTCCTGCTACTTTCACTAGATCCTAGCGTCAGTCTGCTTCTGCCCGATACCACCAAGTCGACATTATTTATGCCACTGACATAATATGTAAACCGACGGTTTGTTGTGAGGTTTGATATGTCTATTATATCAAATTTTTCTTTAAACGCAAAATCAGTGATATCAAAGGAGAAATTTATTCACTCTTTATAAAATTCTCCTGTATAAGAACTCTTTTCAAGCACGGTCCGTGTTTTCAAGCTTATGTGTAGAGCTATTTTGTAACTAACAAACGAAAACAACTACAATTGTGACGCAAGTCTTACACAGCACCGATTTCATGTCAAAAAAATACTGACAATTTGTCAAATATGTCGAATTAAAATAAACCCTTCTTTCACACAGACAGTTTCGGTTACTTTAGTTCTCCTATACACATGAAATATGTGTTGTAGTGTTTATTTTTAAACAGGGCGTGACACTGACACTTAAATAACTGACACACGTAGGACAGCTGTTTTGTCTATGATAGCGAACCGCTTACGTCGGCGTAGCTGTCAAACTTCATTGATTGGGTTGGTAGCATGGATGAATGGATGGAGTTCGACAGTTGTTGAATTTTGAATATTTTTTCCCATATCGATTTGAATTCTCAATCGGGCGTTGTTTTTAATCGATTTTGAATTTTACTCGAAATTGAATTTCCTCGCTGATTTAGGTAGGTATTCTCTTTTCCTCCGCTTACGGCGAGCATAGTTATATAGTTTTGAGTTTATTCGTTGTTTCATCTCGAATGCGGCTGTCTGTTTGACTGTGGCCTTTGCCTTCAGTTGGAGAGAGAAACAAATCATAGACACATATTTGGGAGTGGGCGGTCTATCATCTATGCTCAGTTGTCAAAACAACATTTTAAAATTTCACATTCTGTTTTCGGAAAAGTTCAATTTGTATTTTGTCTCCTGCCCAAAGTATATTATAAGGAGGACCCTACCCTCGTCGTCGGAGTCGTGAAGTAGATCCGAAAAGTTTATATCCTGAAGGATATTGGCGGAAATAGCGCGGAGACGCTAACCGAACTGTAATTCGGGTTGATAAAGTTTCGCAGGTAGACGATCCTGGAATCTCGCAAGGCGGGGCAGTAACTTGTGATAGGAAACAAAATACTTACGGATAGTTTTATATTTCGAACGGCTTATACGTTCCCCTCAAGAAATACTGGAGGAAGAACAGGCTAATAACAAGGAGATTCTCTCTCTGTACACGGACCAAAGGGGGGACGCGTGAGATTATTACAATAAAGGTTGCAAGCCGCTCTCATCGTCCCATGTAACCCGGCCGTGTAAACTCCATCCATTCATCCACACGCACCAACAGAGATTCACTGCCTTATTACCTTTTTTTTTTGTTATAAGTCTCAAGGCGAATATTTTAGTCGAATAAAAAAAGCAACTATTCCCTCAATGCTGCCAACCCAATCAATGAAGTTTGACAGCTACGCCGACGTAAGCGGTTCGCTATCATAGACAAAACAGCTGTCCTACGTGTGTCAGTTATTTAAGTGTCAGTGTCACGCCCTGTTTAAAAATAAACACTACAGTGTTTAGGAGATTTCTCAATTCTGTTTCTATCGGGGAAGTACCAATCATCGCTTTTCTTCTGCTGTTTCACCTAGAACCTTCCCAAAACATCTATAATTACCATAAACTAACCAATTCAAAAAAAACTATCTTTAACTTCCTGGGATTCTACAACTTATATACAATAATTTCCCTCCAAATCGTTGAGAATAATATAACGAACATATAAAGACAAGCAGTCAGAAAGCATGCAATAATAAATAAATTGTAATTTATTTTTCTCAATTGCAGAACGAAGAGATATCCTTAAAGGTGTCGATGGCTGTTTCAAACCTGGTGAACTGACAGCTATAATGGGTCCCTCAGGCGCGGGTAAAACCACGCTGCTCAACATTTTAGCCGGTTACTTGTAAGTAGTCAAGATTTTTACCAGCTTTTTTTGTTATGTTCCATTTTAAACTTTACTATATTAAAAAAATCTATCAACAATACGTTTTTAATAAGAAATAAGGTTTGATTGACTTACAAGAATTTTTGCTGCTCAGAATAATGACTGTCTGAGCTTGGCCGCGCCGGCCGTGTTGCTCTTTATTATCAGAATGATGTCATGGCGTAATCCCTATTCTTCAATATGGATTATGGCATGGCATAGTTCATAGATAGACACGGACGCGGACTTCTGGGCACATCCGTCGTGTTGCTCTATTGGCATAATTATAATGTATTTTACTGTCAACCAGGCTTATTATAATTTCCAAGACTAAAAAATATAGGTGTTGAAGACGTCCCCCCCATAGGCGCGTTATTATTGGCTAATAATATCGGATACATTATTGGGATAATTCGTCCTACTTCTTTTGCGTCTTTGTACGAACTGTGACTTCGTAGCCATCCTAATCCTAATACATAATCTACTAACAAACATACATATATAGACTGTTAAACACATAACCCTGTCTGCGCGTCGCGCTTCGCGCTCTTGCATTGCGCAGCCGGGTAAAAACAGATTTCGCAATAAAGTCTCCCATATTATCGGCCGATAATAATGCGCAAATGGGCAGGATAGTCTAAGATCCGAACTGCAAAAGATCCCCGTGATTATTTAACATAGGATTAAAATGTATCCAACATGTTTTTATGTAGTCTTTGTTTACAGACAACCATGACGTATATTGGCTGTGTTTCCTCGAAATAAGCTACGTAACATAGAAAGTTGTTTCAACACTTAAAATAGAACCTAGCCTATCAAGTATATACGTATATAGGAGAAATACTTACTAATACGACGTAATAATTACATTTCTTTATAAGATGTTGATTTTTCTAATATAAATATTGATTACTTACGTACCACCAACGAAAACTAGCATATTTTTGGTAACAATAGCTTTTCATTCAAAATAAGTAGATCATGTATTTTATCACAATAGTGTTTGCTGAAAATCATCATTCCGCATCGCAATCTGTAACTGTGAGAATTGGAAAGATGACAGTTTCGTTCTTACTTACATAGATCTATTTTTTTGCTTACTAAACTAGATAAGAGTTGCGGTGGCAATGTACTATACGGCATCCGTACTGGAATTAATCTTACGTTGAATCCAAGAGCATAACACATTGACTCACAAAGTGTAAGAATCTGGGTAGATAAGCCCTGGTGTATAATTGGGCCAGGGCCTTAAATACATTTTTATTCCTGCAGATTTTGCATAAAATTTAATCAAGCCTGAGGCAGATACATTTAAAATTATTATTATTTAAACATTGAATTAATTATACATCAGACGCGATACCGCATAAACTTATAAAAGTTTTTCCAACTTTATTTATGTAACTACAGTCATAGCAAACAACAATGTGATTGGTTGGATCTGAGCTATTGGCCGAAATTAATAGTGATATTGGTTTAAGATATTTAAATATTTTGTACTTACGTTGTATGTATAAAATATTTTCCATGATTTTTGACCTGTGTCATTTTATTGTCAAAATATACAAACATCCATAGTTTTTTTTTCTTTTTTTTTAGAGGCTTTTATTCTATGAATATGCCAGCCTCATCGTACCTTAACCAAAACATACATAACTAATTTATTTAAAACATTGGAGAGGGCGAGCTATTCTTACTAGCGAAAACCATATCAAACATCGACTTTGCTGCATCTGAGTTTGGTAGTGCTAATATTTCCACAAATGAACCTATATTTTCAAAGTTATTTTTTGATATTGTTGTATGAATAGCTCTCTCTCTCTTCTGTTCTTCACACATTCCATCAAAATGTGTTGAACATCGTCCACTTTGTTACAAACTTCACAATTGGGAGAATTAGCTTTCTTCATCAAATGTGCAAACTTCCTAGATGGATAATGACCTGATCGTAATCTGTGAGCAAGGATGACATATGACCTATTTAATTTGGTTTCTATGAACCATGGAATCCGAAGAGGCTGACACTGTATTGTCTTATACCATATACCTTTTTGTTTACTTCTTTCGTCAAAATATTCCTTAAATTTATTATAACATATAATTTTGTACTTGTATAACATTTCCGAGTAACTTAGGTTGATTTCAATTTCAATTCCTTCCAACACTGCTTTTTTTGCTAATCTGTCAGCCTCTTCGTTACCCCTTAGTTAATTTAAATTTGTATAAACAAACTACAAACTCAAACAGATTTGACGTGTAACAAGATAACATTCAAGAAATCGAAATAAATAGTAGATGACTTTTTCTTTTACTAATAGTTTAAACAAAATCAGACTCCCCTTCAAAGTCTGCGACCCTATGATTTTTTGTACCAAAAATGATATCAACAGTTTGGATAGTTGTCGATACTAATAATCCTAGAAGTATTTCAATACACAAAACCAGATTTGACTCACTACGATACTGAGAAAAATGAGACGATCATTACATAATTTACGAACGACGTATTAAAACTCGTAACACTTTGTTTTTGTTCCGTCCTAGAAAGTCAAATGTTGATCTGTACTTTGTTTCAAAGATACAATATACTGTGACATGCTATTAATCCTACTATAAGATATTATATAAATGCGAGTTTGTACCGATTTTTGTTGCCATTTCACGCTAAAAAGGTTGAGCGGGTTTTAATGTACACACATATAAAAAGTTTGCGATCAGCTCAGGGAAGCTGCTGTTCAAGAATACGACAGGTTACCACAAGAAATGCTGGATAACTTGATCCTCAACATGCCCAGGAGGATCTCCGCATGTGTTCGAGCCAGAGGAGGAGTTATTTTGTATTAGATAAACAACATTTTTTTAATAAAAGGTTTTTATTTCTATCAAAGTTCTTTTACAATTGCCTTAGGATTGAATTATTAAAGGACATAGCTCGTTCCCCATACATTGAATGCCCTAGAACGCACAGCAATGAGACAATGCTAGGTGTGTTCGGAATCATTCATAAACTCTAATTAGGCATTTGTTGAGATACGAACAACTTGAGGAACCGTGGCCTACTACAGAATATACCAAAAAATTAAATAATTTTTCTTTTAATTTCAGAAAGTGTATTTCTAAATAAAAATAAAGCTATAACGTAAACATTTTCTCTTGATTAAGTTAAATTTTGAAAATTTATCAGCATTTGCAAGTGATCTGAAACTTTTTTTGATGTGTGTAATTTGGCATGCTGTTGTTTATTACCTAGATTGACACAGAGAATATTCTTATCCCGGAAAATGATAAGTTCCCATTTTTTTTTACAAAAACTTTCTTGTTCCTAAAGAAACTAATTTTACCGCGGAAGAAAAGTCGCGGATATAATTTGAAATATTCTACCTATTTAATGTCGTGCTACTCTTACCATTAATTGAATACTTTTTACGCTACACTTCCAGATCCCCTACTTCTAAGGGCGCTTGTTAACGAGATAATTTCTTACCGGGTCTGGGCACTGTTTCAAACCTGCCCTGTCGTCTGCTTGGTACGGTCTGTTTACGACACCGGCGCTAGCGACGGTTTGAGACGAACGGTACAAACGAAAAAGCCGTGCTTGTGAAAGAGCTTAGCCGACACCGGCCCGGGTAGCAACCGGATAGATAACGTCTCGTTGGCAAGCGCCTTAAGACTCAGTATAATTAAAAATGTTGCAGGCTATCATGTGTTGTTTGCTACAGAACACGTGGCGCCAAGGGGGAGATCGCCGTTAACGGCGTGTGCACATGTGCCTCTAAGTCGGCGGGGCGTGGGGGAGCGCGGTACATACGACAGCAGGACGACCTGCGCGCGCATCTCACCGTATACGAGGCGATGAGTCTCGCAGCTGCACTCAAACTGGCCGACTTCACGGCACACGAGCGCAAAGAGAAAGTAAGTATCGAAAGTGGACATACGTTCAATAATTGCTCAATCCCCACGTGGAGGGATTTTGAAGATCCTAAGATAAACGGTTGCGTCTTATGATGTGCGAAAGTGACGAGCAATCAACAAGTTTTTTTTTTAATCTTGAGTCAGTAATGACCCTTCTAGGTACAGGGGTGGCCTTTTTGTGTTGTCACTGGCAATTTTTTTTAAGTGTTTGGATTGGACCTATCTTCCTTTCGCTGTGCTTGCAGAGACAAGTGTTTGGTATAACTTATCAACAACACACTTTACACAGCAATTAAGAAATAAGTATGTCAAGTAAAAACTTCTATGTCCTGGAAGCAAAAAATACCAAAAAACAATCTTATTATAATTATCAACCACACAGAACTAAGAATCGTGTTAACTGCCTAAAAGAGTTAACAGTGTCATAGGTTACCGTTTACTGCTGCCTCAATTTGTGAAGTGTTGTTGTACGATTATTTTTTATACTGTGACCAAAAGTTCAAGTGAACACAGTTATTTTTTAAGTCCATAACTGTGTCCACTTGATATATATGTCGCGTTTCGGAAGACTACTTCTAAGAAATAATATTATAGTAGAGGTACCTTATAGCGATTATGGCACATTTAATCAAACTTGATATTTTATTCCCAAACTATGATATCGTTACATAAGATGATTTGAAGCAGTTTTTGTCTCACAACTGAAGTGCAGTACTATTCTGTAAGAACAAACACACTTTTCACCGCGGAATCCGCTTGTCTGGACTCCACCATCACTTATCTGCTGAGCATCTAATAAAGATAACGAACTATAATTCAGTAATTTGCTTAACAATTAGTTGTGAGTAAAATCATTAAAGAATCTTATTAGAAATACGAATCCACTTGAAACACAAAACAATTTAAACTTTCTACTAAGGCCCACTTGCACAAAAGTTCTATAGTCAAATTTAAAAGCAAATCATATATAAACAAACACATCTCATCCAATCTCTATTTATCTTTACACAATAAATTTCTCAAAGATGGACTGATGCGCTAAACAGTATTATGGCTTAAATGAAACAATTCTTTTCAACTTTACTTTTTACGGAACCTTTTTTTTAAGCCCGTTGAATAACTTGTTTCAATTAAAGAGTGATGTGCGTAAAAACTTAAGAAACAAATAATATTAAGCCTTATTAGGTTTAAGAATGTTGGCGCAAGTGGCCTTAAGGGAGACCTGCACATGATTAGAGAACACACAAGAGACAACGCTTTATACAATTGCGCTTTTGTGCATAAGCACTGGCGACTGTTGCGTACGCAGAGAATCATTTCTTTTGACGGCTATAGGCCGTCAGTGCTCGCTTACACACGTACACTGCATAAACCTTATCTACTTATTTCCCTTCTTTACTCACGTGATACCTGCCCCCCCTAGCATGAGCACCGCAATATGATATATATCGTGTTTTTATCACACTCAATTGTCAAATTTTTATGGAGTTTGACAGTTAGACGCGATAAAAAACGTGATTTAATGTAAATTTTGGTGCTCATGCAAAAAAGTTCCCTTCATTTTTTGATGTAACTATCTTAGTTTTTTTATTTTCTTTATCGTTTCTTTAGGTTTTCGAGATCCTAGCACTGTTAGGACTGAGCGGTGCATCACAGACACTGTGTCGGGATCTATCAGGAGGGCAAAAGCGAAGGCTGGCTGTGGCGCTGGAGTTACTCTCCGATCCGTCTCTTTTATTCCTCGATGAACCAACAACGTAAGTCCAATTTTGTAAACGTAAATAAAATTGACCGTTACAAACACATTTAGTGGATTGGTTGCAGGCAAAAAAGTCATATCACGCCTTACAAATAAAATTATTGCAAACGTATAAAGTCGCATCAAAAGCGCCACGAGGTAGGGTATTTGCATCAGGTCACAAAGATGAGGTCGTTGTAGCGGCAAATAATTATGCTCATCAGCTATCTTTTCAACTGGACTCTACTCAAACTTAACATTAGGTGGAGTACAGTAATTGCTGGGCCTTCCTTCACAAATAGTTGAAATGGAAGTGTAGAGTTAAACAGACTATATTATCTGTATTATTACAGGGTTTCCTCTTATTATCGATGTCGAATTCAAGATATTATTATCAACTAAATGACCGGTAACTTCTTTAATGTATGAGTAAATATGGCCTGGTTGATCATGTCAATTAAATATAACATTTCACAGGGGCTTAGATTCATCAGCATCTGCCTCTTTGATCGCTCTGCTGAACAACTTGGCGCGCGGCGGAAGAACCCTGGTCGCTACTATCCACCAGCCTTCAGCGTTACTTTTCGAGAAGATCGATTCCGTCTACTGCTTATCTGAAGGCAGGAATCTGTACAAAGGTCCTAGAAGACATCTCCTACCGGCGTTGTCCAGTGCAGGATTACGATGTCCCCCGTACCACAACCCCGCGGATTTCTGTGAGTAAAACTTTCTATTAACACTTTATTACGTATGAATTTTGCAAAAGCTACGCGACTTTGTTACTTTTACAAAATTCATTTGCAATGCAATAATTCAGTTTAATAGTAAATAAGATTTCAATAGTAGTTTTCCTTATCGGAAATCAGTGTCAGAAAATCTCAAAAACGTAGAATGATCGAATTTGGGAAGGAAATAGGCCGTAGCCTAGTTGTACCACTGACCCTGCGTATCCATAATCAAAGCATGAAGCAAAAAATTATTGTATTAAATGTGACAAAATTGTGATTCATAAATTCCATTCTATATTTACTTGCTGCTAAATGCAATGGAAAATGCCAACGGTACGCTGTCAGAGAATATATACACTACGCGACGCTGTGTCGTTATCGGTGATCCGTAGGGCGTTTCAGTGAAATAAGTCTCATTTCCCAGTTCATCGATAACTCCAATTTCAAACATTTGTTAAAAGCAAAATGTCGCAACCACTGTTCAAGCAGATAATCCCAATAGTATTATGTGAAAGTTTATATGTTTTTTTGTGTGTTTGTATGTTTGTTATATGCATAAACTTCTGAATGGATTAGGACAAAATTTGGTATATATTTATATATTGTATGACCTTGATTGAGGCATAGGATACTTTTTACCCTGGAAAAATGAGAGGTTTCTATGGGATTCTCAGAAACCTTAAGTTAACGCGGATCAAGTCCCGGGCAGCCGCTAGTAGTGACAGATATTTATTCGTTTTATTACAATCGAAAGTGAGATTGCATGTAATAGGGTGGGCATGTATTCGATTGTCGACACCATCACTTTGCTTATTCTCAATTATATTGCGATATTTTTACACAAGATTCACTAATAATTATCTTTCGGCCGAATTAAAATTTGCAGCTCTTTCTCTTTTTATACCATTATTAGCCATGATTCTTTATAATTTTAATTTAAAATACGGAAACGCAAAATATATTGAGGAAATACACCATGAGAAATCAACAACAACACGACACCGACACCACAGAATTCAGAGTTTTTTTTTCTAAATGGCTTCGCACGGCTTGTGCATTTAGCCAATGTCAAATGATTACAAATTCCATAGCACTCGTGGTCAACGTAATAAATCAAGTCAAAGTAAGTGGCAGTCAAGTCAAACCCCCTTTCCCTATGTTTCAGTTAATGTGTGGGGATTTACTGGAACCTCCCCGTGGACTTCTTGAGAGAACGTCGAAAGGCACTTTCCGCTATTTTGTTTCACTTGCCAACACTTGTGCATGTTCCCGAACACTTAGTGGTTAATAATCTACCATTATTAGACACTAACATCCGCCACTACACAATTTTTAACACGAAAGACAAAACTGCTAAAGTGACGCTATCCGATCCCGCCAAAAAGTCCTAATCCAGAGTTCTATCTGACAGTGACATTAGTTTGACGTTAATGACAACGAAATGAGCGTTTTTTTTAAATGAATGAACGATTCGCCGACTTTAATCTTTTAACCGTTGAGTAGCTAATCGGAACTTCATTTTTGCATATGAAATTGAGAAATGTTAGTTTTTAGTTTTACTTGCTGATTAGTGTTAATTGGGAAGTAACTAATCAGAAGTTTACTCAGAGATGGCGAACGAGGCCCTTACCATATTAAATGAAACGATGTTATTTACAATAGAGAGAAGCACGGCTGAATTGAACTTTAGTTCTGCGTACGAGTTTTATTTTCGATCTTAAGAAGTAACTACATTTGCATTCTCAATATTCTCTTGTGCGTGATCACACTGCATTAACTAAGTCGTATATAATAATTAAATACATGCCTACTTTATTTATCCGCGGTTAAAAGATCTAGATTACTTTAATTGCATTTGTTGCGCAATTAATATAAAAACTAACTGAATGCGGATAAACTGAGTTCAATAGTTTAACTAATTCTTATTACTGGTATACAATAATAATTCTCATCTTATAAGAGTCCATTAAATCATCAAAGGTTGTCATTTAGAATCTGCGTTAAATTACATTGTAAGCATTGGCGTAGTTAAACATTTTTTATATCGGTATTATATTATTGATAATAATAAACAAAAATAACTTTATAAATAGTATTATAAAACATAACAGAATTGTCTTTCCAAAAGTTCTCTCGTTGATATAAGTACTTTATCATTTTTAAGATCAATAAAAACATTGTCTACATTTTAATCAACCACTCAATTAGATAATGCATGCAAGCATTCTCACTTTCTTTAAAATATCCCTGACATAAAATCTACTTGTAACCATCTTGATTTACGTAGTTACTTTTAGAATAAAAGATTTCATATGTACATGTTTTAAACTATAGTAATTTGCATTTGCATTACTATAATTTACGAAATTACTAAAAATAAGTGTTTTCATAAAACGGGTTATCGAGCTCAAATGAACTTATATTACATTTAGAATGTTTCTACAAAGAATTTACATTCATATACAAATAAGTCTGTTATTATTGTTTGTTAAGTTCCGCTCCCAATCCTTAGTAATAAAACAAAGCTTAATTTTAATTTATTATTTGAGCTTTTGGATCCTTTAATTTCGTAGAATTTTAATCAAAACGCAGAATCTTAGCGTCGTGTAACCCTGTATCCTTAGTACGAGTTTTTCAATTACGAAAACTATGATAGTTTTCGTGAGCTCGCACGTACTAAGGGTACTGATTTTATTGTTTTCGTTTCAATACAAATAAACAGTGTTTAAATTCTATCATTGTATCATTTGCGTCTTCATAAATTTTAAGTATATTTGATTACTTTTCACCAAAATGAACATAGAAACATAATTTACAATTCGAAAACTATGATAGTTTTCCTGAGCTCAAACTCGTACTAAGGGTACTGATTGCAGCTTAGTTTCTTAATGGCTGTTTGTCTTATCAGTTTTGTTTATTAATCTTCATAACAAAGAGCTTCACTGATATTTATGGAATTACGAATTTCCTTATCGCACGGTACGGACTTGACGGATGGGGGCAGGGCGAATAAAAAGCAAAATTTTTCCGTCACGACCGTTAGCTGTTTCTTCGAGTATTGTGTGTAGTTGCGTACTTATATTTATTATTACCTTTGTTCGAGTAGATATTTCCACGACACTCGTGTTTGCTTTTTTAAAGTCCAAATTACTTCTGATCATCATTTTTTAACTTTCTGTGTTTTCTTTCATACATTATAGTGATGGAGGTGGCGTCGGGAGAGTATGATGTGGATCTGATTCAGGCAGCTAAGACGATGAGGCATTTCAAACCTGAAATAACAGCCAATAGCAGTTGGGAAGCGCACGTACCGATAATACCAGCGCTACCAAGTCCTATGGGTAAGATATTGAACATAGAATAGACTAACTGCTAATTTCAGTAATCAGAGTTATAATATGGATTTTTGCATGGACAGTAATTTAAGCAAACTATCCAAAGTCTTAACTTTAAACTTGCGCTCTATGAGAATACCGTGAGTGTTCTATCTTTAGGTACTAAATACAATCTAAGTATCAAAAGTTCATTTCAAAACCATTCATCGACTTTTTTCAAACAAACAAACGTTTTACTAAGAAAATAGTAATTTGCTAAATAAAACTTTTATATTTCAGATATATCCAACGAATTCAAATCTAAGAACCTCTTAGGAAATACTAAACACCAACAAAGTCATTCCAAAACAATGTACAGACAATCCGGCTTACTCCAACAAACGTGGTTTCTGCTTTACAGGAACTATTTGATGACGACAAGAAATTATGTAAGTACTGAAATCATTTGTCACAGTTTAAAAATTTAATCCTGCGTATTTCTATCTGTGTCATCTGTGTCTTAATTTAATGTTTTTTCTTTTATTCCAGTCTCTATTTATGTACCGGGTAGCAGCTCATGTGGTGATAGCTTTGATCTTTGGGTATTTATACTCAGGGGTGGGAAGCGAAGCCAGCACGGTCCTTGGCAACTACGTTTACCTCTACGGGTCTATGTTGCTTGTTGTCTACACTGGGAAAATGTCCGTTACCTTATCATGTAAGCAATAAGAACAGTTTTTTTTTCATCTATAACCTCAAGTATTTAAAAGTTTTTGTTCACATTTTTCTATATAGTTTTTGTTACGATGAATTCGGTTCTGTAACTTTAATGTCCTTTGCCTTTAAAGTTCTGATATTCTGGTTTGGCCAAAATCAATTGTTTGTTAAGACCATCAAGACCAAAATCAAACTTCTGTCAAATACTAAAACTATTAAAAATATATTAAGTACATTTTTATATTTTTTTAAATATGTCACTGTTAGTTTTAAAAGAAAATTTTACTAGAATATTCCACGCGGTCCAGGCATCAGATAAGATTCGAACCTGCACCATCCGCTATCCGGGCGGACGCCCTAAACAAATATGCTACCGAGACCATAGTGGCATTGAAAGATTTCTTCTAGTGTTCTTAAGTTACAAGGCAGCGCAAGGGATTCGCTCTAGTAAAAAATCTTTTATTAAGATTGAAGGCGGCGGGCACTGTTTCCATACAAACTTTCTCGACTGATACCTCTTTTAGTTTTTACACTAAAGTAATGATTGTCATACATAAAATATAATTTTACTCATTCTATGCCCCTATGTCTTCCTTTTTTCGATTACTTGTATTCAAAGAAACTAGAAGCTCTCAAAAATGCCAAATAATAACATATTTTGTCATCACTAAAGACGTCTAGTGTGGAGATTCAATAAGCATTTGTTTATAAAAAAAGCAAAACATAGAAGCCTAGTAAAACTACTTATTATTATCTACACGTAAAATTTCTTTTACACATATTGCATTTTCGAATGAAAATCGTCAAAAGTCAAACCCCAAACGCAATTTTCAGTGTTATCTAATGTTGTCCCTATAGCACGGTATTTGCCAATGCGCGACAGCAATTGCTTTTTCAAATACCTATTTCTCAAATGTCTCTCATCTCGCATCCGCTCTTAAGAATATACAGACTGCAAATCAAAGTTTTCGGAAACGTGGAAGCATAGTTAATATTCATTGGCGGCTTACAGCCACAAAAATACCAGTAATACAACAGTTACCGGCAAATGTCAAAATCATCAATCAAGCCGTTACATGCTTTAAAATAATAAAAATTATAACTATAATTGCTATTTCTTCTTTCAAATGTTTAATACTTGTAAAAGTATTCATTTGACATTGTGGGTTTACCTATAATGCGAAGAGATGGCGCTGCCTTGCAGCTTAAGAATAGCTAGAAGAATTTCGACGCGGTCCGTGAGGGCCGCGGTATCATAATTGGTCAGTGCATTCGCCCGGATTGCGAAGGGTGCGGGTTCGAGTCCCGTCTGCTGCCTGGTCCGCGTGGAATTTTTTCTAGTTATATTTTCTTTAGATTTAAACATCAAGCAGTTACATGCTTTAAAATAATAAAAATTTAATAATAATAATAAATAAATATTTCCAACACTCACACCAATTAGCCTAGCCCCAAAGTAAGCACTGTAAAGGCTTGTGTTATGGGATACTAGGGTAACGGATAGAATACATATATTGTACATCTTTATATATATAATTCTTCTGTGAGTGTGTATGTCACTGAACTTCTGTTAAACGACTGGACCGATTTTGATGAAATTTTTTGTGTGTGTTCAAGGGGATCTGAGAATGGTTTAGATTCACAATTTTGTCCGCTGGACAACCCCTATTTTTTTAGGGCGGTACGAAGTTCGCTGGGTCAGCTAGTATATAAGTATATTTATATGAAATACATATTAAACATCCATGACTGGAGTACAAATGCTCGTATTCATCACACAAACATCTGCCCCCACCGGGATTCGAACCCCGGACCTCTCGAGTCGGCGACGCCATGAAACCCGGCGTATAAACCACTCGGCCACGGAGGTCGTCTAATTATAACTAAATGTCAATATATGAGTATGTCTACAATTCGAAAACTATTAAGCACCTTGGACCTTATTTACCTTTAATTGTCAATCATCTCAGTGAGAAGGATTCAAAATAGATTTGAATAGAAAAATTTATTAATGGAAATTTTCAAAATATTAACATGCAATAGGGGTTTAGATGCAGAGGGTATTTTTATTGAACCGTGATTTTTAATCAATCCATTCTTCCATAAATAATCCACGTTTATTGCAATAATGACTTTTTCTTTTTATTTCAGTTCCGCTAGAAATGGATATACTTAAAGGAGAATATTTCAATCGTTGGTATAGATTGGGGCCATACATTATATCAATACTTGCAGTCGAATTACCATTCCAGGTAAAGGAGAATAAGTATTAATACCTACATACTCATTAGATTATTGTAAGACTAACCATTACCATTTAAATACTTTCCCATTTTACATAGGTGGGTAATCAAATTAAAAAGTTTTTTCTCTCTGAATATTATATGATAACCAACTCTAAGCGTTAAGATTTAGAATTTCATTGAATCATAAAAATTGAAAAGGAAGTTAATCTTTAATAAACCAAGCTATTGATCCATGGTCTTCGCTATTACACCACAGTTTAACTGTGACTATGTCATCTTTTTACGAAATCGTTGTTTATCAAGGATAAATGAATGATAAAGGATACCGTTTGAATAGGATTATTCTAAAGGATCGCATTTTCCTTATGCATTATTATTTAAATAATTTCCTTATCGACTTGGCGGATGGTGGCTAAGCGGAATAAGATGTAAGATTTTTCCGTCACAACCGTCAGTTTTTTCGTGGCAGATCGTTTTTTTTCGTCCTAGGCGGGGGAGCGGTTGTGAAATTCTCATGGATACCTACAGCCGGCTGCAAGGTTATGTCAGACACCTACTGACTAAAACACACCCGTAGTTCATGCTTATGGCCAGAACAAGCTTCATCTGAAGCGATCATGCCCTGAGAGGAGGATGATGCAGTAGTAGCAGCGTATTCTATGTAGTTGTGTACTTATACAACTTATGTTTATTTTCATCTTCGTTCCAACTGTGTGTTCCAAGACGCTCTCGTTTGCTTTTTGTATGTTACACTCGTTATTAAAATTGTGGTCTCAATGTTTCAGATGATATCATGCGTGTCTTACGTGGTGCTCTCGTACTGGCTGACTGATAATCCCTTGGAGCCTACCAGAGCGACGCTGTTTTTGGCTACTATTGTCGCCACGTCATTGTGTGCCCAAGCTTGGGGATACTTTATTGGATCAACTACTCCTACAAAGGTTAAACTAATTTATTTGTCTTTCGTCTTTTGGTTTTTATAACGCTTGATCAAGGAACATATAATAAACATAAGTTCCTTGCGCCTGATTTAATTTTTGAAGCAATATTGAATATGAGTGCAATAAGTACATTGTACATACCAATTGAAACTTTGAGTTTAGTATTTTTTGCTTATATTTCATTTTTGTCATTTAGGCGTCACTGTAAGTATAATTACAGATATTTTGATTTTAGCAGAATATTCTTCTTAGATGTATTTTCTGTCAATCTTATTCTTTTTTGTTCTTTCTGCTAGTCTTTTAATCTTATAAACAAAAGGTAACAACGATACTGCCCTTTTCTGTGTTTAATACAATTCATACATCTTTTAGTTTATGTTCAACAGAACAATAAGATTTCCTGTATTGTAGACTGAGAGCAAAAGAAAAACGTATGATATTACAGTTGCTTCATTTTAGATATTATTCTTATTTACTTTCACTGTTATAAATACTATCTGGAAATCTAAGATATCAATTAAGATCCACTGGTTTTATATCGTGTCGTGTTTTACAGATTGCTGTGTTCCTGGGTCCCGTGGTGGCTTGCTTGTTTTCCGTGTTTGGATTCTGTCTGGCTCTCAAAGATACTCCGTTGGCCTTCCGATGGCTGCATCACATCTCGTACTTCAGGGCCGGTTTCCACGTGGCTGTTCATTCGGTGTACGGATTCAACAGGACAAAGATACACTGCTCTAAGAGTAAGTGGTTCAAAAAAATATTTTATTACATGAGTCAGAGGTACTTAAGAAGGATCTCGATGGCGCACGGCTTCTTATTATTATAAGTAACTTAATTGTTAAGTATTCAGCACATGATAAGACCACCTTTAATTAGAGTTACCTATATTATATTTAAATAATCATATTAGAAATGTGAACGTTTATATGTTTGTTGTTACACAATGACGCAATAACTACTGAACGCCGCGCGTGAATTCGTCCGCGTTTATTTAATTTTTACTTTATCCCACAGGAACCTGACATTTTTCCGGGATAAAAAATCTCAATCTAGGTCATAAACTATATGCATACCAAATTTCATCCAAATCCGTTTAGTAGTTTTTGCGTGATTGAGTGACAAACATACAAACTTTATTTATTTATAATATTAATAGGATAGAATTAAGTGTTTGAGTAAGTGTGTTTTTGTTAATATGTCTCTGTCGATAAATAAATAAAAAAGTGGTTAACGCGTTCGGCCTGCGATCGTGGAAGTTAAGCAACTTTCCCAATGGTCATTCATTGGATAGGTGACCAAAAACTTATCTCTTATCCCGAGCTCCCCCGTGCTCCAGAAGGCACGATAAACCGTTGGTCCCGGCTGCATAAGCAGACGTTTGCATTTACTATTCCACACTGGGCCCGCGTGGTGGGTCATGATATTATAGCTCTTAATATAATAATATCCCTATCCCACCCATAAGGATGACCTGTGCCCCAGCGTGTGTACATTAATAGGCTGTGATGATAATGATGGTGAATACTTAAGCTTGATTGTATGAATTATAGTCATTAAGAGTGTTAGAAAAACAAAGACTTGTACAGCTACATACTAATTAAGACGCAGATATTGAAGTCTATTAAGAGACCGGTTTCTCTCAAAATTTTTGTTTGTGATAGATGTTGTTTGGGATAATACTTATGACCCAACTAATGTAAACGATTGTTTGTAGTTGTGTTGTAGTCTTATGACCCAACTAATGTAAACGATTGTTTGTAGTTTGATTGATCGTTTACATTAGTTGGGTCATAAGTTTGTAAAATACCCAACCAACCAACTAATGTAAACGATTGTAGCGATGAGAGTACTACATATTTATACTTAAACATTTTTATATCTTTGTTGTTCTATGAACAAAGGTGTATTTAAAGCGTGAGTAGATAGATATATAGTCCAGATATGCTGACGAAAAAAACAAGACGCAATTTGTTGGATTTTAAATATTCTCTTACTATTTTCAGTGTACTGTCATTACATCACGCCACAAAAGTTCCTAGTTGAAATGGACATGGCCGAAGTGGACGTCGGGGGCAACATGGCTTTAGTTCTCTCCATCACGGTGCTGATGCATCTTCTCACCTGCGCAGCGCTATGGTACCGACTAAACAAAAGATAAAAGAGACCATGACGAACTTTATTTTCTTCTATCAGGTAGATTTCCAAAAAGTATTGGACACCTTTTTCTTTATTCACATAATCAAAACATTACACAGATATATTAATTTGAATAGTCGCATGCATTACGTTTATAGTGTTTACTTAGAAGTGACGTCATGAACTCACTTTCTGATTGATTGACAAAGGAAAAAAAATTTTGTCCATAATATATTTTATTGGTAATCCTACTGACGGACTAAATATAATTTTGTTTACTATATCCCGTCATCATCCCTATTCCGATTTTACAAGTATATCTTAAAACAAGAACTTTCTTGTTCTGAGCAGTATACTGATGTTAGCACTTCACATGGCTATTCGTATTTCCTATTTGCGATTTTAACAGCAGGTGGTAAGGACCATCTATCCATATCCATAGTAATATCCATCCACATATACTTATATTTTAAATGCAAAGTGTGTCTTAGTATCCCTCAAGCTCAAATACTTTCGTATTCAATTCTTCGACATTTGCTTTTAAAATCACTGCTCTGTGTAATATCACAATTGATTTGTTGTACATATTTCTTTACATTGTTTTTTTTTACCGATGACTTCTCTCACCAAGACGTCATCTAGTGCAGATTTCCAGCCTTTTAAAGTGTCCTTTAGGTGTCTGTCTGTCTGTTACCTCTTTACGCGTAAAGCGCTGAACCGATTGAGTTAGAATTTGTAATAGAGATAGTTTGAATCCCGGAAAAGAACATAAGGATATTTTTTATCTTAGAATTAGTCCTTTGTGGGCTTCAAATGACTAATTCTAAGAAAGGGGGGGGGGGGGGGGTAGTATTAGAAAGCAATTTTTCCACGAAGGTAAAGTCGCGGGCATCCACTAGTACTCTTTAGGAAATGAAAAGAAAGAAGACACTGTTTTCAAGTTTACCAATAGCAAACACGAATAGCCATATGCGGTGCTTGCATAGAACAGAGGCTGAAAGATGGAGACTGATTTACTTAAACCTAACCAATAATATCTAAAATTATTAGCAAAATTTAGATAACATTGACAATTTATAAACATTAATTGACGCACCTTGAGTATCTTAACTCAAATGTACAGATCTCGATATCTTTCAGAATACAATACTTCAGCCTAGAAGTATATGCATCTGAAATAGAATTTAAGCTATGGTTATATAGCATGTATGGTTTTTATTCATAATCCAATAAAATGTGTATAACTTTTCTGAATGTAAATACATCTTTCATATGATTTATCTAATGCTTTAGGCCTCATGTTACTTAACATCGTCAAACATTGGAAACTTCAAAAATTTTGAAAACATTTGAATGCCTGTGGCCACATAATTCCATAAAATTAAAATAAGTTAAACTTTTAAATGTTCGAAATATAAGAACTGTTCTTATAAAAATGAGCAAATTTTAGTACATTTTATTGATTTGAAAAAAAAATATTATATAAATATTTAAATTCCGCTCATCACCTGTCTTATCTAATCACGTTCAAAACACTTTCGTTATTATGAGCCTAAGGCTGCCTGTCCACTGAAGCTAATCGACGCTGCAGAGCGGAGAATCGGGGAAATAATAACCAATAGGATTGCACGAAATCTCCGCTCCTTTTTAGTAGACAGGTTTTGTGCAATCCTATTGGTAATATTTCTCCGTTTCTTCGCTCCGCAGCCTCGCTCCGCTCCAGTGAACAGGCAGCCTAATTGGTTTTTTTTAACAATAGTTTAAATTCATATATATTAAACATTACATTTTGATGCAAGCATGGAAAGCTTGACATTTCTTATGAATGGACGAGTATCAAATGACACGAATAAGGTTTAGTATTAATTTGTGGTTCTAAATGTAGATCTAGATTTTTGAACTCATAATGTGTCAGTTAACACGCTAGGCACTACTGGGAACAAAACTTTATATGCAAGTACTTATGTCAAACCTAATACATAGAAAAAACTCCAGTTTTATTATAAGTAATTTTAAATTGTACCGGAATGTTAATTAGTGAATTGATCATAATGATAAAAAAATTAGATTATTAGGTAGCCAAATAGAACACAAGACGTGCCTTTTGGAATGGTTTAATATTTAAGGTCGTGGTAAAGTTTGTGGTGTGGTTGATTGTTATTTAATGTAAATAAAATTTGCTCCTAGTTATGTATTAGTATTTATCAACTTAGTTAATAAGAAAAGTGATAATTGTACTTAAATGGATAGTGTAGGTAGGAGATTATTAATGCTTTGTGATTTTATTTTTTTATTTATCAGCTCGAATGTATCTGCTCCTACCATAAATTAAAGACTTTATAGAGTTATTTTTTTGCGTAATAATGTGTGACCATGATCATCGTAAATTTTCAGTGAAATTTCATTTTCAGATTTTTTATCTTCAGCCTACTTTGTTATTCCTCGAATTTATTACCTATTGAACTTATTATATTTATACATATTTTTTGAGCTAGGCTTTTGGGTAGATTAAATTACTTGCACGTAAATAATTATTTTTAAAACGGCGTCTTCTTGTTCATTTATGTATAATAGTACCTCTCAAATGCCACATAAAAGTGAATTAAATTAACAAAATTATTACAGTGTGATTGAATTTAAAATCACATTATACAGAAAAGAATGTGCAATTACCAATTCTACGAGGCAAACATTTCATTAGATTAAGTAATTTATACTTTAATTTATTGTAAATATACTACTTTTTAATACTGAGTGTTTTGCTTTTTCATTTATTTTTATCCGAAACCAATCCATAAAAAGCAATTCCAGTAGTCTAAACTTCTGTTAAATAAGGAACAAAGCTACTTTAATAGATGGGAACCGTTATTGAAATTTTTTATCCATTCTTGAATATCTAATGGGTCCCGACTGTTAAAGTACTTTTGATCCTTACTTAACAAAATTTTAGAGTACTGGAATTGTTTTTTTATTTTCAGTTTTTATTTGAAATAATATTTTAGCAGTCGGGTTTTTTGATTTTTTAATTTTTTTATAGATAGTCTACAACAGTTTTTATAGTTCTAGTTTGTTTCTAGTTTTATAGTTCTACAACACAAAAAAAAACTTTTTTGGTTTGATTTATGTGCAATATATACTAACAATAATTAGGAAAACCAAAAGTATGAATGGATTTTAACGTTTTTCGAAAATGAGTGAAAATTTATGAAATTTCTTAGGTAATACGAAACGATATTTAAAATGTGGCTAGCTAACTATTATTGTATAGCGTAAAAGCAAACAGACAAAGAGTTTTATTTTTGATTTAACTGATGCTCAAAGTGTACCTCTACCGGGACGGATAAGCGTATTTTACGAAAAATTCATCGCTTTTTGTAGCAAAATATTTTATAAATTTCTAAGGTTTTGAAGATATTTAAATATATTTATTGATCGGGATTCACCATTTGTGAGGAAATATGATTCTGTTATTGAAAAAAATGTAATTACCGTACTTTTTTTTAAAAATGTGGCGGAGAGTTATGTTATAACTAATGTGGCAAAATTTACCCTTGTATGTCCTAATTGTCAGTAAAACTGATTATAGAGTGACCTCTACTATATAGTAGTTATAATCAGTAAGACTGATTAATAAATCATAAAAAAACCCGACTGCGAAAATATTACTTCAAATAAAAACTGAAAAGAAAAAAACAAGTCCAGAAGTCTATAAGCTACTTTAATAGTAGGGACTCGTTAGATATTTAAGAATGTATATTTTTGTATTAAAATCACATCCATTGAACTTCAATGAGGTGGGCTAATTTGCAGCGCCTTGCATAAAAAATACTACGAAACTCACTTAGTTAACGGAGGTTGGAATTGCCTTGAATAAATATCAGGCAAATTAATTTCTCGAAGTGCTGGTTGGCAAGTAGTGGTAGTGGTTGCTCTGGCAGTGGGAACGTGGAAGTCAAGTAACTTTCGCGATGGCTGGTCATAAAATGGGAACTCGTTTCGTTTCCGTGCGCTTGGCTTACTCTGGAAGGCAAATCTGTATAAGGTTGAAACATACTAAAAACTCTTCTTTAACTGTAAAGAAGAGAGACGGACACAAGAAACGCCAAACACATGTTTATCCTAGAAAAGTCAGTGCCCGATTTCACCAAGTCGACATTGGTGTCGATTCTAGCATGATTCTCTAAACCTAAACTTAAATTTGACAGCAGTATATCTTTGTCATTCTCTAAACAGAATGAAAAGGAGAGACTGATGTTAAATTTAGTTTTAAGTTTAGAGAATCACGCCAGAATTGGCACCATTGTCGCTGACATAATATATGCAAGCCGAACGGTTTGTTTTGGGTTGATCTATAATATAAATTTTTTCTTTGAACGCAAAATCAGTGATATCAAAGGAGACATTAATTCGTCCTCTATAAATTTCCTGTATAAGAACTCATCTTTTCAAGCTTTTGCTGAGAGTAATTTTGAAAGTAACAACGAAAACACTACGATTGTAACGCAAATCTAACACGGCCCCGATCAGGTCAGAATTACCGACAATTTGATAAATACGTCGATTAATTAATTTACCCTTGTTTCGCAACATATTGTCGTTGAAGTGTGAAATGCAAGTTTGCACATTTTAATTGATGGGTCCGCAAATTTTATAAATATTTTTGGGAAATCTGCAATTGGTTAAATTTTATTATTTATTACCTATTTAATTTTATGTACGTAGTCGTTTTCACAAAAGAAGTCCTTTTTAGTGAATGTTTTATTTGTTGGTGTTGTTTGGACATCAGTGATTTTTTATAATTTATTTTTATTAAAGCAAATCATACTATACTTATTTATAATGCCTTATGTTGTTTAAATTGCTGCTTGATTGCTATAGTAAAATTCAACAGGAGCGCCACATTTTCTTTTGCGAATAAACTGAATACTAATACAATTAGATTTACTTTTAGTATTTGAATTTTATTGACCTTAGAGATAATTTTCCTTCGAACTATTTTCTTTTCGTTCAAGGCACAGTAACAGTACATTATCCCACCACATCAGATGTTGAGTGTAAGTGGACTGCGGTCCCGAAACAAGCTGAAGCGGCAATAAAATATGCCGTTCCTGCCACCTACCAACCTCCTTTCCAGCCTGAACCCAATCTTCTACCTAGAGATGCAAACATACAGTTTACACAACATACAGAAAAAATGCATGAAAATAACGTGTCTTTTCTGGCGCATGTTTTTCACGATTACAGAATTCAAAATTATTAATGAAGTTTCCGTTAAAGATTGAAGCTTATGAGTTTATATTAAAAGTTTCTTTTTATTCTTAAACCTACCAAATTTTTTAATTAAAACTGACCAAGCTTTCAACAATTGGCAACACTCACGACATGGTACGGGATAATCCTCGAATTCCCCGTTCGGTTTATGTTTGTTTGGAGTAGGTATGAAATGGACGCAGAACTGCGTGCGAACTGTTATCAGAAGCGCATTTGAATAATGTTACTTTTTAAACTAATATGTGTGTAATCAAACATAACATACCTTATAAAACATTTCTTTTTTAAATATTGTTATCTTGATAAATAAACAAATTTATACAAAAAAACAACGGTCCTATTTGTTTTTCATATTTGCTTTCAACATGGTGAAAAATAAACAAAGTTGTTTTTTATATTTTACAAAACTACCTATACCCCTTGCAGTCCTTGAACCTTACTCGCCAATGGAACAAAACACCGCCAAAAAGTGCTTAATGTTAAATTACTATGGCTACCTATAAGTTGCAGGTAACTATATCAAGCTTTATAATTCATGCGGGAAATCCGCTATGCCCTTCATCTCGCGTATCTTAATCAAATTCGTATTCTAATCTCAAATCACACGCGAATTCTGCGGTGAAAGTGAATTTGTTCTTACAGAATAGCAGCTCAGGATTCCAGACATGCTCCTTAATTTTTTAACTTCAGCTTTGATCAAGATACCTTTCAATTTATAACATACCTATGTATATTTATAATCTAAATAAAAAAATAATTGGAATTGAGAACATAGAGGCATAACAGTAGACAAAGCTCAATAAGTATTGCAGTAAAAGACGTGTCGACATCTTAAAAAAGTAAATAAACTTGTGTCACAATTTACAATTTACTTCAATCTTCAAATCGAGATAATCTCAGGTAAACCTTCGGGTGTATGTACATTGTATTACACTTTGTGATATCTCAAGATACGATTATAACAGTCCCGATCATTTCACGGTATCACTCATATTTCACTTACACAATCCTTCTAGCCTCACATTATCGAACCATTTTTTTTGTGTTTATCATAAACGTGTATCTATCTTCTTTTGTCTAAGCAAGTCTGTCGTTGTCTTTTTTTAAATTCTAATTAATCCATAAAGAGCTTCCGAACACTACCACATTAAAGCCAGCTTGCACCAAAGTTCTTAACTCTAAGGTTCTTCAGTAAATTTTCTAAGCTAATTATTTAAACCCTCATTGTACTGAATTAACTCTAAGGTTCTTTAAACAAATTTCTAAGCTAATCAGTTTAAGCCTCATTGCACTGAAAAAGTCCATTAATAAGAAATGATATTTATGTTAAACAGGATTAAAAATATATTAAAAATGTTGGTGGTCTTTGTATGTTAGTATAACATCAGCTTCTGTACTATTGCACAGCTAGTTGGTTAGGTAAAGTGGGGGAGGACTTATCAACGGCTCTTGCGCAGCGTCATCGCTACGCGGCTACGCGCTAGTGCACCATGTTACTCCGCGCGGGCACGACGCAGCGGGCGGTGTGATCAACTCTTTGTCTACTAAGTCCTTTGTGTTTCATAGCGCGCAATGGAAGTTACGAGTAATGTTTGTATTACTAATTAATTACCCATAACTTTTAACGATGAATCATTATCGTTTTAATAAAAAATACTATTTTTCCAATTACGGAGTATTTTATTCAGTTTATCTATTTATTTTGACTTTCTAGGTATACTATAATGTTTAGACTAGGCCATACTAGTTTATCCTAGAGTATGCGTATTTATATCAGGATCAACTAGTTTGGCCTAGGCTAAACTGGTTTATCCTATCGGGCTTAGGAGAAATTAGTTTGGACTAGGCTATACTAGTTAATCCTATCGCGTAAAGGAAGAAGTAGTTTAGCCTAGGCAAAACTAGTTTGTCCTGAAATCGGGTTTGGCCGGTAACACATATAAGAACTTGAGATAATATAGACAGTGGATAAGCAAAATCAGTTACACGCCAATTTGGTGGTGCTTAAAAATTACATTAAATAAAATCTGAAATTAAGTTATTTTTTAAGCAGCACCAAAGTGGCGTATAAGTATTCTGCTTTGCCACTGTTGATAAATATTTTTGGGCATCCCACCAACGATATTGGTTGCACTTGCACCCCATCGATGATCGGCCACTGCGCAAGTTACTAAACTTCTACGATCACAGACCGAACGCGCTAACTACTTACGCAAAAAGTGCTTAATGTTAAATTACTATGGCTACCTATAAGTTGCAGGTAACTATATCAAGCTTTATAATTCATGCGGGAAATCCGCTATGCCCTTCATCTCGCGTATCTTAATCAAATTCGTATTCTAATCTCAAATCACACGCGAATTCTGCGGTGAAAGTGAATTTGTTCTTACAGAATAGCAGCTCAGGATTCCAGACATGCTCCTTAATTTTTTAACTTCAGCTTTGATCAAGATACCTTTCAATTTATAACATACCTATGTATATTTATAATCTAAATAAAAAAATAATTGGAATTGAGAACATAGAGGCATAACAGTAGACAAAGCTCAATAAGTATTGCAGTAAAAGACGTGTCGACATCTTAAAAAAGTAAATAAACTTGTGTCACAATTTACAATTTACTTCAATCTTCAAATCGAGATAATCTCAGGTAAACCTTCGGGTGTATGTACATTGTATTACACTTTGTGATATCTCAAGATACGATTATAACAGTCCCGATCATTTCACGGTATCACTCATATTTCACTTACACAATCCTTCTAGCCTCACATTATCGAACCATTTTTTTTGTGTTTATCATAAACGTGTATCTATCTTCTTTTGTCTAAGCAAGTCTGTCGTTGTCTTTTTTTAAATTCTAATTAATCCATAAAGAGCTTCCGAACACTACCACATTAAAGCCAGCTTGCACCAAAGTTCTTAACTCTAAGGTTCTTCAGTAAATTTTCTAAGCTAATTATTTAAACCCTCATTGTACTGAATTAACTCTAAGGTTCTTTAAACAAATTTCTAAGCTAATCAGTTTAAGCCTCATTGCACTGAAAAAGTCCATTAATAAGAAATGATATTTATGTTAAACAGGATTAAAAATATATTAAAAATGTTGGTGGTCTTTGTATGTTAGTATAACATCAGCTTCTGTACTATTGCACAGCTAGTTGGTTAGGTAAAGTGGGGGAGGACTTATCAACGGCTCTTGCGCAGCGTCATCGCTACGCGGCTACGCGCTAGTGCACCATGTTACTCCGCGCGGGCACGACGCAGCGGGCGGTGTGATCAACTCTTTGTCTACTAAGTCCTTTGTGTTTCATAGCGCGCAATGGAAGTTACGAGTTTTGTTTACGTGCTTTGAAGTGCCAGTGTCAGTTGACAAGATGAGCAGCGACAACTCTGAGTCGCAGGAGACGACCTCAACCTCCTTGATCGAGGACTCCCTCAACATAGCTTTCGAAAACATAAAATACAGCGTGCGACATGGTATCTTAGCTGGGGGTGAGTGAAACTTGACATTGTTTGTTTACATTAAATGTGTAACGATCACAGAACATAGAAATGTTTAGTGTGTTAACAATGAATTCGCATTCGTACACTTGAAGAAGTGTAATTAATAACTAAAGAGTTGTAGAGATATCTTGCAGTTGGTTTTTAATTTCATCGTAATTAATTTATTACTTCGAATATCGACAAATACTGTGTATGTACCTATTATAAAGAAAGGATTTTTTTTCCTCATTTTATGGCCTTAATTTGGAATCAAAGTGTGATAAATTGCTGCAGTTTTTCAGTGGTGATTACTTAATTATTCGCCTTTTATCTGTGTAGAGATAGTCCAGTGTCATTGACACTACACATTTTATCTTGGTTGCCATCACAACATAGTGTTATATTACTATAATTGCAATTAACACCTACACAATTGCCTTTTAACGCCTCAGTGATATCTATTGTGTTATTAATATAGATATATAGTAAACTACATGCAAGTTTATCTGTGGATGAAGTATGATGAGCTTGATCTTCATCAATGAACGTATTGTTGTTCGATGCTGGTACCTACTGAAATCATTTTATACCTAATTCAGTTAAAATAATAACAATAGAGAATTGTTTATCAACCACAAAACTAGAATCATGCGTTATCACGATGTAATAATAATAACATCACATTTGGTTTCCTTATCCAGTAGTTTATGTAAGTTTGTTAACACTATTAAAACGTCTACTAAGTGATCAAGTTCTTACATGGAAGGTTTTACTTAACTGTTATGGTCAGAGCTTGGAATGAAAGATACAAGACTTCCGCTGTGAACAGGAATTCCAGATTTGTCTTATTTGTCATCTATCACAATTCTTGTATAACTGCTATACTTACAAATATTAAAGAGTAATTTGGCCCTCTTAAAATGTGTGTATGTGTATGAACTGTCCTATATGAAAATGTAGCATTCAACAAATGGATTGTGTCATGAAGACTGCAGAACTAACTTTCGTTATTCAATTTTATTAAAATACAAAAACACAATCAAACTGTCAATACAAATCTCCGTTCGCAGTTTAGGTTTTCAGTTTGATTCTTCGTCATGTCAAATTTTAAATGTTTAGATTTTTTGAAATTTATCTTAATGTATTAAGAGATTATAAGGCACACCACAACCTCAGTTTTCATATAAAAAACTGTAGCACAGCACAATGCAAATCAAAATTATTTTCAGTGTAAACTTTCATTTCAAGTCGTGTTTACTGATAAATATTGTAAATACTAAAATACAAATAGAATTTGAAACCCATTTTGGGGTAACAACGACTGAATATCCGATTAAACATACCAAAATAAAGCAAAATTTGGTATGTTTAATCGGATTTTTTTTCATAATACAGCGTTTATACATTTTAAAATGCTATCTAGAAGGTCCTATGGCGTGCCTTCCGATGCATATGTTACCGGCCAAACCCGATTTTAGGACAAACTAGTTTTGCCTAGGCTAAACTAGATCTTCCTATACGTGATAGGATTAACTAGTAAAGCCTAGTCCAAACTAATTTCTCCTAAGCCCGATAGGCTAAACCAGTTTAGCCTAGGCCAAACTAGTTGATCCTGATATAAATACGCACACTCTAGGATAAAGTAGTACGGCCTAGTATAAACCAATTTAGCAGAGTCGAAAGTAATTGAACAAACATGTCAGGTCTTGTACAGGTCGCGTCATGTAAAAACAACGCTGGAAGACAGTGGAGGGAGTGTTTATGCGCATAGGTACACTCACACACATAAGTAATAGGCCTTTTGTTTTGTGAGATGCAGCTGCAACAAAAATGTTCCACAAACAGATGCCAATGATGGCAATGATACTCTGCAATTCAAGAAGGCAAGAAGGCAATGATACTCTGCAATTGTAAGTGCCACCAAAGCACACCACGTAAAATTAAATAACAATTTTAATAATTGAGATATGATTATTGCTTCTAATAAAAACACATATTATTTGTTATAGTATAATTGTTTGTATTACTAATTAATTACCCATAACTTTTAACGATGAATCATTATCGTTTTAATAAAAAATACTATTTTTCCAATTACGGAGTATTTTATTCAGTTTATCTATTTATTTTGACTTTCTAGGTATACTATAATGTTTAGACTAGGCCATACTAGTTTATCCTAGAGTATGCGTATTTATATCAGGATCAACTAGTTTGGCCTAGGCTAAACTGGTTTATCCTATCGGGCTTAGGAGAAATTAGTTTGGACTAGGCTATACTAGTTAATCCTATCGCGTAAAGGAAGAAGTAGTTTAGCCTAGGCAAAACTAGTTTGTCCTGAAATCGGGTTTGGCCGGTAACACATATAAGAACTTGAGATAATATAGACAGTGGATAAGCAAAATCAGTTACACGCCAATTTGGTGGTGCTTAAAAATTACATTAAATAAAATCTGAAATTAAGTTATTTTTTAAGCAGCACCAAAGTGGCGTATAAGTATTCTGCTTTGCCACTGTTGATAAATATTTTTGGGCATCCCACCAACGATATTGGTTGCACTTGCACCCCATCGATGATCGGCCACTGCGCAAGTTACTAAACTTCTACGATCACAGACCGAACGCGCTAACTACTTACGCAATCGAGCTCCTCAAGATTACTAGGTACATACAAGGAATTTTATTGATCGTATGTTCTTTTATTTCAATAGTGTTTATTTACAAATATCATGACTGAAATCTTGAAATAAAAACTAGTTGAATTCGTTTATTTACAATTACAATTATTTAATCGATTTTCATTAACAAAACCCCTGATTCAAGCAATTTTAATTTCTCGTCATACCTTATTTTTTTTATTGTTCTAAGATTAAATCTTTGTTCTTGTTCACATTTTGATTTCACGCTTCTTATTTTTGTTGCAATCCGTGGTTTTATTTCCTATTATGTTTTTGTGGCGCTCAATAATAGAACAAAGCTTGAGGCCTTAGCCGGTCGTGAAATTAAGAGCCCTTAAACGTTTGTTTATGAAAGAAGACATCTTTTCTATAATCAATTAAAAGTTTGACCACTATAAAATTAAACATGATAATATTTTTTTAGGTATAGGTATTTTTATGCTATTGACACTTTAGACAAACGGCATTGAGCGATATTTGACAAACCCTGTTTTTTTTAATGTGATTTGGTCCTATTTGGTCATTCAATTTGATGCTTAATTCTAACACCACGTTCTCTTTTTGACAAAAATAAAAGACTTACGTCTATGCTATGCGTTTGGGACTTGAAAATCCTTGGCCCGGGCTAGCTAGCCTGTCTTTGAAATAGCATTGTGCAAGACAAGTCTCATAATTATTTAGTTAATTAATTAACAAACTAGCAAACCTGGACTAACTAGACCATTTAGTTGTTTCTACGCAAAGGGTACCAATTTTTTGTGTAAGGAATGGTATTAATACGGCAGATGGGGTACAGGCTAAGATTAGGCTGTCTCAGCTAAATTTGTTTTTATTGTAATTATTTACGTATGTTAAGTCGTTTTTGCTGAATATTTCAAGAAAAAAAGAGTCAAAGCAATATGTTTTTTTTTAATTCTGACCGATTTTAAATACTTATAATCTTTTGTTATTTTGATTTATTATCTAGTGACTACGGCAAAACACCTTTGAATAAATCATACATTTCATAACAATAACATAAAATATCAACAGATAATACTAGCAGTTTCTGTAAATGATGCACGTTGCTTAAACTTCTATGTTGTGTATATTTGCTTTCTCTCTTATTTGTTCCATTGATGTTCCGTTCCATCCTCTCTTAGGATGTTACTTATTGTAACATTTATAAAATTCGATGTTTAGCGTTAATCTACTCCTTGTCAAAGCAGGACGACAAAAGACTGTCGGAAATGCCTCTATTCAACTTAAAAGGTGACGATAAAAGTCGTAAAAAGGTAAAAGTCCACGTCTTGTAATGTAAGGATAATCACGACTTGTCGTAAAATGTGGGTAAGCGAAATTTTAACTTAAGTAATCTTTTACTTTCTTCACCATTATTATATAACTTTAATTTTTTCTTTACTTGCCTAGATCATGTTTATAATCTTCTGTTATAATTGAATATGTTTACCTTACGTAGTTTCGATATAGTCTCTGCATCAATGAGTTTGTCACGTCAAAATTAATTATAACGAAGAAGAAAGGTTATAGGCTGTCTCCGTCCATCCGAACTTTGTATTTTTATCGTGGAACTATTAAATTTTAGCCTGCTAATTATAATTAACGGCTTTTAAAGTAGAATAAAATAGATTTTTCAAAATATAATTAAACAGAGAACAAGAATGTTAATAAGATACTGACAGTATTTTCAAAATATTTAGATAAAGGTATCAAAGTAACTATAACTAAATAATTACCAAAAAAGGCCGTCAATGCGAATTTAATAAAAAATTACTAAGATAAAAAAATAACAGTGTCTTCATTCCGTTTCCACTTCTCTGTATAAGGAACATATACGGAAGTGTCGACAGCTACCGAGTATTTAACATATCATACCACTTAGAGCCAATAATAGTATTTAATCTCATGCATAGTTCTACAGTCCATGAAAAAAACTAGTACTGCATAAAGGCAGCACAGTAAATAAATGTCGCATTGAGAAGAGTGATCAAATATTTTGAAAGAATTCTTCCTTTTTATTCCCTATAATAGACATAAAGGATAATAGGGATATTTAAGTAATAAGTATCCTGCTGTCAAAAGTTTTGGCAAATACGAATAGCTATATGAAGTAGGTAGAGTTATATCAAGAGTTTGAATAATCACGCTACATAAATATAAAATATGATGATAACTGTTATCTCTCCCATGCATTGGCCGAAACATTTCGTTGAATTCTGTCTGACACTTTTTCTTATAACCTAAACAGACTGTATGTCTAGTGAAATGTAATCTTTTGTCGTATTGAAAAATAAAGAATTAACTTTTGAGTGATTCCTTTCATCACATCATTATAAAGTACATACATATTTTTTGTAATATTATTTATTACAAGGCTTATCAATGTTAACAGCATTTAGGTACTGCATTTATGAACACAGATTTCAAATCCGTAATTTCATGAACCACTTCCGCACCTTCATAAACTAAATGCTTCCGTCCATTCGTGCTTAGGAAGGTACGTTGCGTCGTTGGTATCGGCTGCATCTGCAGTCGCTTTGTTAGCACACACTAATCCTCACCGGGCCCACGTGGTAGGTCATGCATGACGCAAACTCCGTAATCTATCCATAAGGAAGGCCGATGCCCCAGCAGTGGGGACAATAATAGACTGGTAATGATGATGGCGAAGCGAATACTTAAACATTGATATGCTATTATTAATTAATTTTTTGTTTTCATTAATATTACGAGGCGAGGTTAAAAAGTTCGCGAAATGGAGCAGAAATTGAACATGAAATTATTTTTCAATATATTCTCCCTGAAGCCAGATATTTTTTTTAGTTCTTGCAAATAAAGGGCAACCATGTCAACATGACCCCTGTGGACCCCTGTCGTTGTCATGCGAGAGGAGCACATCTCGAGTCCTCGAGTTTTAGTTTTTGTAGCAGAGTAGTGTAGTATTCTTCCATTATTTTTATTTCTTGACTATTATAAACCAATAAAACTCACTCTGAATCCTAAAAAAACGTGTTAAATATCTTCCCAGCCCATTGTGTCACCTAAAACTTCTTAGCATATTTAATCTACATCTTTTTATGCCACTGCATGGAGACTTTTTTAGAGTTTGTCTTTCATATTCCCTAAGTTTTAGTATTTTATTTACACCAGACAAACTTATTCAAAATTTTGTTTCTTTATGCAAGTCCTCAAATATTGCGTTTGATATAACCGATTCTAAAGGGACTAAACTCAAAACATAATTATGAAAATGGTAGTGTACATTTTGTCTAATGCTAAATGTCGTTACTTATATATAGTAATAATGCATTTCAAATCTATTATGATAATGGTTATTGTCAACTAGAAGTGAATGAGTGCTCTATGTACAAAGTTCAATGATACATCATACTCTCCAAAAAAGTAATAACTAACCTAAAACATCGATACTTAGTATATTACATAGAAGTATGAATCACAAAGAGCAATAAAATTAAATACATAATTATTTACATTATATGAGACTTAAGATACACGTGTAGGTAAATAAAAGAAACATTTTATATTTGAAATGATCTAATAATTGTGATGATAAATTAAAAGTAATAGAAGAAGTAAGTATACTAGTCTTGAGATTTCATTTTGAGAGAAATGAGCACCACAGCATTAAAGTCACTGACACCAATGATTATAATCAATGGTTAAAATAACAAAGTACTTGTATTTTATAAAACTAGTTTTAATAACTTATATTAACTCCTAAACATTTGAAAAGCATTTAAACTTAATACTTCCTATTGGTGGTGTTGTGATTCTGTCGGTGAGTAAGGTTCCAGGTATTTATGTTACCCACTATGCATGCCATCAGCGCAGTACTCATTTTTTTGTGGCATTCTTTACTGGGACAAAAAGTAAAGTATCTGTTATCAATAAGTTTATACTTACAATAATCTTCCTAAGAGCTGACTTTGATACAAACCCGTTCATCTATTTCGAAGTTTTTCATTTTAAATAGAAATGGGGTTTTAAGGGAAGTGGGGCACAGTAGATTTTTCTTTTTAATCGGAGCATGGAATATTCTACAAAACCCGTTTAACAGCCAAAAACCTATTGTCTAGATTTGTTTATATTTCTCCAGACAATTTCCAACATAACACATTTAACCCTAAGCAGAGCTTTTGTTTCTATAGAAAATACGACAAAATAATGTCTTTATTTCGTTAATCATAATCATAATCATAATCAAAATCATTTATTCAGTTTAGGCTGTTACAAGCACTTAAGAATGTCTAGAAGCTACGCCATCGGTTCGTAAATCTACGGCGGGAGACCTTGTACTGAGAAGAACCGGCAAGAAACTCAGCAAGGGCTGTTTTTTTCTCCCTGTTTTATTATTTACAGAGTCGTCAAATTGAAAAATGACTTCAGAGGTGATTCATGAAGTCACTTTTCATTACATAATTATTAAATATACATTAATTGTTTACCTGCATTTTGATTGCTGTGTCATACAGTATAAATACAAATAGTGTTATTTATATTCAGTGTGACTAAACATTAACTTCAATATTAAGGAAGTTAGGGCAGACTCATCTCCGCTGGCAGCACCCGTTCACGAGCATGACGCATGAACCAGCCATCGCTTCGCTCAACCATATTTTAGGGAACGTAACGACCCGCCTCACACGACACCGCCGAAGAGACTATTATGAGAGCATGACTACCCATAACTACCCATACTAACTACAACATATTTACTTAAATTAAGGTCATTTACCTGTAAGACACAACAAACAATTACAAAACAAAGCAAAGGAGAAATCACGACCACGCCGTTTTGTCAATCAAATATTCTTAAACAGTCTGATAATCTTACTTAAGTTATTAACTTTATATACAGCTTTCAGTTTAATTATAGTATTGTCAACACATAAATAGTATTGTCAACACATAAATCATATAGAAATACCCGTCGGAATGGTTGGAACAGTTCATACCCAAGCATTTTTGTCTGTAATATAATCAGACACTTTATAATATGCTTTCTTAACTAGTGATTTTTTAATGGTCGATTTAAATTTAGTCATGCTTAACTCTTGAATATTGCTTGGAACTTTATTGTAAAAGCGAACACTAAGACCTCTAAACGAATTATTGATTTTGTGGAGCCTAGTAGCAGGTAAAGTTAAGTTATTTTTATTTCTAGTATTATATGTATGTATTTCACTATTTTTAGTAAACAAATTAATATTTTTTTTACAAATACTAAGTTGTCATATATGTATTGTGATGCAACTGTCAATATACCTATTTCTTTAAACTTATCTCTTAATGAATCCTTAACTTTAAGATTATAAATTGATCGAATAGCCCTCTTCTGCAGCACAAATATAGTTTGAATGTCGGCGGCATTTCCCCACAGTAAAATACCGTAAGACATCACACTATGAAAATAACTAAAGTAGACTAATCTGGCAGTTTCTATATCCGTTAACTGCCGTATTTTCATTACAGCATATGCTGCAGAACTAAGTCTCTTCGACAATCCATCAATATGTGGGCCCCACTGCAGCTTAGAATCTAGTGTGATTCCTAAGAACACTGTGGTATCTACAGAGCTCATATGTCGATCCTTTATATTTACATTAGTTTTTACCTGTTTCACATTAGGTAATACAAATTTCAAACACTTAGTTTTCCCTTCATTTAGCATCAAATTATTAACATTGAACCAGTGGACTACCTTCGAAATAGACCTGTTCACGTCATCAATTTGTGACTCCCTACGTTTAATTTTAAACAAAAGTGAACAAAAGTTAAAATCATTGGTCCTGACAATATCTGCATTATACAATCGTGTGGTGGGTTAAGATTATATTATTATGTCACTTTTGTCTATGTGATTGTTTTTTCAGTCTACAGTTGCCCCAGATGTGGGTATAATATGAAAATCAGATAATGTTATTGAAATATTTGATTATCACATTTAATTTTGACATATCGCAGGACGCAAGACAATCCTCCGAGATGTGTCAGGCTCCTTCAATGCTGGAGAGCTGACTGTCATCATGGGCCAGTCTGGGGCAGGGAAGAGCTCGCTTATGGACATCCTAGCTGGATACACGTGAGTTGACAAGTACATAGTTCTTTTATTCTTTTCTCAAAGTTTAGGGCCACGTACACCAAAGTTGTCTTATCATGTAAGTGCCTGTCCACATGTCCACGGCACGACGTCGTCAACGTTGAACCGTGCGATAACGTTGTACAGTGCGTTGACATAACGTTCAAACCTGTCCCCGTAGCATGAGTACCACAATTTACATTTTATCACGTTTTTATGGCTTCTAACTATAAAACTCCATAATGATTTGACAATTGAGTGATAACAACGAGCGACCGCGGTGCTCATGCAAGTAGAAGAAGATCCAAACCTACATCGACCTTCACCGAGCTGATAATAGAATGAAAAATGTTTTATCATGACTTTAGTATATTACAAAATAAATTAAAAATGAGTTGCCTAAAAAATACTGGACAGACTATTTTTAATTATTTAAAAAAAATATAAAAAAATATGTTGCAACATAATAAGAAAATGTTGTCCTGACTTATAGTATATAACGTATAGAATGTGCAGCCGTTGGGTAAAGTAACTGGCATCGACATACCTGTTTTATATCTGCAAACCAGAAGTTCGCCCAGATATATAATAGACAACACAACGGCTGCACATTTAATACTTTTTATACTGTTTTTAGGACATCATTATTATCTTGATGTCGCAACATTTTAATTATAAATAGATAGATAGATAAATCATTTATTCCCATCAGTACAGCACACAAATTCAAGTAAAAAAAATAGAATAATTAATTACTAGGTATGTAACTGTGTGCCGCAACGACAGAAAAAGGCAAAAACTCAGCGATACCTTTGCTCTAAGAGCAAAGCACTGGTTTTCAGTTCTGCCTAGAAAGCGCGTAACGTGAAACGACATCGACGTGACGTAAATAGTCTGTCCAGGACTTTTTTAGGCAACACATTTTTAATATATTTTTTAATATTTTTATCAGTCATGATACAATATGTTTCATTCTATTATCAGCTCGGTGAAGGTCGATGTAGGTTCGGATCTTAGACCATAGGAAGGCAGGTCGTACAGCAACGCACCGTGCCGCGTTACCACACCGTTCCACGTTGACGACGTCGTCGTGACGTGGAGATATGGACAAACACTAAAGGGGGTTTCACACCGCGAGCGCAGCGAGCCCATTAATGAGTCCGTTTACCTTGCAATACAAAAATGCATACATCTGTTTCAACCAACAAAGAGTCGAGCGAAAGTGATAAAGAGACTCATTTTATTTAAATATCACTTTCAAAAATTGACAACGATGGAATGATGCAATGATCTGTGAAACAGTATTAAGTCTTAATTTAAATTAAAAATGTTGGTGCAAGTGGTTTTTATTGATGTTAATACATATCTTGCATTGCATAGAGTAAAATTGTATTTTTATCATAAATAAATACAATATGAGCAGAAGCTGGACTAAGCGTTTAAGAACTCCATATATCCTTTAAATAAGCTAAGAATAAGCTTGGAGTTCGATGGCGCAAGTGGTTAGCGCGTTCGGCTGCGATCGTTGAACTTAAGCAACTTTCGCAGTGGTCGGTCATTGGATGGGTGACCAAATATTACTATCTCGAGCTCCTCCGTGCTTCGGAAGGCACGTTAAGCCGTTGGTCCCGGCTGCATCTGCAGTCGTTAGCACTCACCAATCCGCACTGGGCCCGCGTGGTGAGTCATGGCCCAATCTCCCTATTCCATCCATAGGGAAGGCCTGTGCCCCAGCAGTGGGGACATTAATAGGCTGATGATGATGATGATGAAGCTTGGAGTTAATGGTTACGCAATGTTTTGTTCACGCTACTCAAATAAAGTTTGCAATTCAGTCAAATTTTAAAAACCATTTAAATAATCACTTAAAAGTTCAAGCTCAAACATGAAACCCAATCATCTCACAAGCATTAAATTTTACCTTCAAGTTAAGACGCTGTTGTGCGTGCGAAGCCGGAGCAAGAGTTTAGTGTAATTATTATCTAAATATGATATCTGCTACATCAGCTGTCATTAACCTACCAGATTATCTATACTGCAACCGTCTAGTTGCCTGCTAATCATCAAGCCAGTCGATGGCTAAATTCCTGAACGGTCGTAGATAGATAAAAAAATATCACAATCTCCACAATTGATATCAGTCGATATACAAAATAATCAAGGCTGACTTTAGTAACTCAATGTCAAACCATGCATTAAGATAAATGAAGTCTTTATGCTTGTTTTCTTAGGCCCACTTGCAGTTAATTTGCTAAATCTCGATTCAACTAAAACTAGATGTAATCTATAGAAAAATATCAAATTGTCAATGTCAATTAGACATCATTGTATGGGATGAATCTAGTTTTAGTTAAATTGAGATTTAGCAAAATTCCTGCAAGTGGACCTTAAACTTTTAAGTCTATAACAGATCTAGATTTTAAACAGAGACTTTCATGTTGACTCTGGATACTCTGGCTTTGGTACTAAACTTTGAATTAAGTATCTACGCTCCTTCAGCTGCGCATACATATTTATCGTTTTCCACAACCTCTTCTAGCGTTCGCCAGTCAAGCAGCCCGCTAATTCATTACGACAGAACTAATTCAAATTCGAACGCATTTAGTATCAAAGCCACCCGAAGCTTCGTCGCGTAGGTGTGGGAGAAGCATTAAACATCAAGAAAAGCAGGTCAATGATGACTAAGTACTCCCTCCCTGACCATAAAAATGACGGCTGGTTACCAAACGCCAAATTTGAATTAACGCATGATAAGAAATATTTATTGACGCCAAGGTACGACGACAACCATAAAACGATGATTTGGCTTAGTTATCTAATCTGCACGACTTTGACGCAATGTAAATCTGCCAATACTCGTAGATACTCATTGGCATTACTGCACAGACCAAATTACCTTGTTCTTGACTTGTGGGGTATTTATTACTCATTCATCATATCGAAAGATACAAGCACCTCCCTATGCATAACAATTGGACGCGCCTCTGTTGGAGCGAGGATTGCACTTACAACCTGTAACCACATAACAAAACATTTAATCATTTATGTCAATGCATCTACTAAATAAAATATAGAGTTAGATCCCAAGACCGCCAGACCTTACTTATGTTCTGATGGACAAAATATGGATAATCGAGTAGTATTAGTGGTTTTTCAAATTGTCTTCTGTAAGTAAAGTGAGTAAATTTTTTACGTACCTGAAAATTGGGCCACAGTACAAGTTAGCGAGTATAAATCGTTCATTGTACTCACTAATACTACTCAATTATCCATATTTTGTCCATCAGATAATAAGGAAGGCCTGGCTGTATTGGGATCTTGTGCTAATTGTTTTTAAGTAATAATTGTCAATAACAGATATAGAATTGTAATTTTGAAATAAATTATTATTATTATTATAACCTAAAGCCACTGCGGGGGCTCGTAAGGCTTGCGAGAGCCAGGTGTGAGGTCCGTTCGGCGGTGTGCCTCTTAAAGGCGCCGTCGTCTGTAAACAGAGGTTTAGCCTGTGTCACAAAAAAGGTACTTAAACAACAATATAACAAATAACCATAGGTAACTTTAACTTTATTGACTGCTGCGGTTTGAAAACCAATACCATTATCTGTAACAATATTATGGCGCGTTGTTCTATCAGCACAAAGTAACTGCAAAACTAATTAATAACAAAGTTATAGTTTCTAATAAAAACTATAACTTTATTATTAATTAGTTTGTTGTTGAACTGTATTATTATTAAACACTAAAGTTAATTTACGAAAAAGTACGCTTTACTCTCTTTCACTCTTAATTGTTTATATATTTATTTATTAATTTTGTAATATAAACACAAATATAAATATACATATTATATAATTATATTTTTATTTTTTAAGTATTTGACTGCTAGATGTTTAAACTGCGAATGAGCGAAAGATGCAAAGAGATGGCGCTGCCTTGTAGTTTAAGAAAAGCTATAGAATATTCCACACGGCCGTCAAGGCCTCGGTAGCGCAATGGTCAGTGCATTCGCCCGGATAGCGAAGGATGCTGGTTTAAGTCCCGTCTGCTGCCTGGTCCGCGTGGATTATTTTCTAGTAACATTTTCTTTAGATCACTGATAATATTCGCTGGGCTATTATTCATAGCAGCTTCAAAAAGCTTACTGCTTTGGTTTTCTCGACTTCAGCAGTGCCTTTACTTCTGTCCATTTTGACATCTTGCTTGGTATTCTTCACTCATTGAGTGTCTCTTCTCCTACTCTTTGCTGGTTTGATTCTTATCTTCGGCGCCGCAGTGTGTTCCCCTTGATGACCTTATATCTAATTGGTGCAAGCTTTCTGTACCTCAGGGCGATTTTCTCTCTCCACTCTATTTTCCATTTTCATCAATTCTAAAAATAGAGTTAACTTCTTCCCCTTTCATCTATACGCAGATGACTTGCAGCTCTATCGCCATTTTACTGTAGACTAAGTGGACTTAGCAGTAGGAGGAAAATAATGATGATTTTTCACGCATCAGCACATGAACAAAATCTTAAGGCCTCCTGGTGAACTGCAAGTAAGTAATAAATCGCAAGCAATATTTCTTTTGTAAAAATCTAGTGATTAAATTATGAACAATCACCATTCCCATTTTGCAAACGTAAGTTAATACCAAATTCTGAGATTTGGATAGTTTAGTGCCATATCAGATAAAAATATAAATATAATTTAAATAAAACTTAGCTTATCGGGAGTTTTAGTTTAAAGTTGCTTCTATTCTCCTGATAAAATGCGCAGATAAGAACGATTAATAATTTAAAAAGAATATATTATATTGTTTTGCTGTTTTTATGCTTAACATATGTTTCGGTCAACAGCTTCCTGCTTGGGATAACCCATCGCGTCCTGTGTTGCTCTAATATGGGTAATAGCATATCCACTGCAAACTTTAACTCTTTTGTACATTAATCAAAGCGATTTGCTTCCGTTATCATTATGCGAATGGCTAGGGCGTGGAACTCCTTGCCGAGGTCTATTTTC